ACCATGCGCTTTTTCTCGTTTTAGACGCTTGATAGCACATTTAATTTCGTCTGTAGATATACTACGGTCAAGTTCATCAAACACAGTGTTCCTATCAACATTTTCTTCTACATAATCATTATCCGACGGGTCGAGATTCGTGGCTACCTCCTTGAAGTGATTAAAAAATTCATCCAACGACACATTTGAAACAGTGGATTTTGTACTTGAGAATTTTTTATAAAAATAACGTGGATTGGTTTTCTGTAAGTGTTCCATCATATCTCCCTCGACCTTCCTATATTGCCTTTTACACTCTTCCTTTATACATCAACAATTGATTCCAAAGTCCCTAAATACCAAGTAAGCTTTGAAAAGCAATTAACTGATTTGGAATAATAGGGCATACTTTCAGATTAACAGTGATTTTAAAAACATTCAATTTAATAGTCAACTAAGTTTCAAAACAATAACAGTGTCATAAGTTAATAGAAATAATAACTTAAAATCTTTATAGATAGAAGATGATTTAATATAAGATCTTTTAAAGTAATATACAATTTTACCTTGATTGGTGTCTTCTGATTTCTTTCTTTTTCTCTGTTTCTTTTTCTTTTTTGAATGTGTTGACTCTTCCTTCAATAAATCCTCTGATAAATCTGATACAGTTTGTACTTGGGAAAGTTTTATGATATCACCTTTCTTCTGTTTCTTCTTTTTCTTCTTTTTCTCCACAGAATCAGTAGCTTCAATTTCACCTGGAGATTCAGTTGTATTTTCTTCCTTCTTTTTCTTCTTTTTCTTTTTATCTTTTGTTTTTTTCTTTGAAATTTCTCTTTCAGATTTTTCAGGTCCTACTGGTTCTTTTGTATCCTATTAAGGAAAAGAAAGAATATATAAGTGACAGAGAAAACAAAACTGTAGACATATATTTTTTTCAACTAACTTACCTGGTAACAGCTGGCAAACAATGCCACCCAGTCTACATTTTGTAGCTTCACTATAACCATGAAGATACATAAGACTCTATGCCACCTATGGGTATTTAGTAGTGGAATAATGCTACTGCTAAGCCAGGATTTAAACTCACAATCTCTGACAGGTAGATGGATTACCTGAGCTACACCTGGACACCGATGATAAAATAAGTTAAATTTCCCTACTATACTGATTTACTGATCATGCTAGACTTATATTAATTATACACGTGTAATTCTAGGATCTTCAAACTCTTAGACATTTTACAATCAGTCTACCATCAACCAACCATTTTTATTCTGTACCCAGCTATACTACCTGCAATAGTTTAAATTTTGAATCCATCAATACTTCTTCTACATGTATATATATGCAGTCTGCATTAGAAAAATCCTATACATGTAATAAGATTGTGATATAGACAGGGATACATTTTCTTTGCATTGTAAGCAGACAAAGACTGCTTTAAGTCTCATATTAAAAGGTATATATAGCTAATCTAGTTGTAACGATTCTATATCAACCAAAAGTGTTGTTTCATTTCATTAATTTGCAGTTCACTAAATTAACTTCAGTAAATGGTTTGGTTTACAAACCATATAGTTTCTAAATCATGTTTAGTTTCTGAATTATAATTTAGAGGAAACAATTTCTCTTTGTGCTTTGACCAGGCCAACAAATGCAAATCAACATATTACTTAATAGTTTCAGACAAGTGGAACAAAATTATGCTGCTTGTCATTTTCTTTATAACACACTACTTATTTTAATATTTTACCAGCTTGGGAATTATACCTAATATGAGAAACTTTCCCTCATTATGAGGAGATAGCTGTTCATATGGACAAAAATGTCCCACTTTACATAGACATCCTGGAATGATAGTAAACAGAACAGAACGCTATGTGTAATTTGTAAATTGCAGTGTAGGAATCGTGGCCCTAGAAGGGGTGATCATGATTCCCAACCTTAACCTATTTACTAAAATCACAAGCATTAATTATTCCCCACCCCAAATTCAACCTATTTACACAGGTGCTGGACACTCTCATATGATGTGCTTTACTCCCTACCTCAAGTTCAGCCTATTTACAAAGGTGCTGGACAAGCTAATATGATGTGCTATACTCCCAACCTCAAATTCCACCTATTTACAGGTTGGGCACAACAGCGCATATGGGTAATAATCCTGCATTCGGGTAACAGTTACCCATTTCAGTAATAATTTTATTACTGAAATGGGCAATGATGTGAAATAAAAGCACACAAATTTCTTTTACACATTATGAAAAAAATGGCATCATTCTTTCAACATAATCAAATAAAAAATACAATGAGGTACAATTGTGTACAAAAATATATAAAATCAGTTGTCTATTTTTTTTTGAAAATGACAAATTGATTTACACAGGTGCTGGGCACACAAATATGTACTCCAATAGTGTTAGAGGTTTACACGGCGAGACACTTTTGACAGGCGCCATGTAACATTCGGCAAAATCATATCCGATAGAAAAAAGGACGACCAGCGGCCTCTTATGTTAATATAAGATCTGTTGATCATGTGAAATATGCTCAAATGCTGTTGATGCGTCTTAATTACCTTTGCTCCTTGTTTAGATACATTTTTTCGCGTCTTAGTTATTAATTCGTAATCAGTTAATTCTTCCATACACATCAATCCAGAGAAATCGTGGCCTGTCCCTAATCCTTTGGTGATTTCGATTTTTTTCCATTTCGACTTGGGTTTCACGTGTATGGAAGTCGCCATTTTTAATATTTAGACATCGGTTAATCTAACGTTTAGCTGTTAAGTGCAAGTATGTGTATAGAAATTGAAGCGTCTGTATGACCGTGCATAGTCCAAGAGATATGTCGAAGGAACAACATATGAAAAGATCTAGAGTCACACAAGTTAAAAAGAAAAATAGACATATTCGGTGATAACAGCTGTTATTGAATAGTAATTGATAAATATGCTTATTAGATACGGTTATATTGTCGGTACATTTATACGTATATAAGACATTGATTTACATTGCTTGTTGCTGCATGACATCACATTTTCCTTTGCAGTGGTTAGTTTTACCATCCCTACTCAGTGGCAGCTGGCGCGAAACGGCAAAAACACAAACAGAAGAGCTGGGTTTGTATAGATACAGTACATTAACCGTTAATCATACGTAAACGTTTACTCATTTTAAACTTACAATGCCCTTTCGTCGAATCCAATAGGACCGATGCGAAAATGACAAATGTCAAGAGTGTATGAAAATGGAAATGAAAGTAAATATTCAGTGATCTATGTTGTGATTTTTATTAGTATAAGTTATTATATACCAGTACATATACCTACATCAATCTGATTAAAATCATATGTTACATGGCTTCGTTAACTTCGTACTACGCCTGAATATAGGCGTAGTACGAAGTTAACGAAGCCATGTAACATATGATTTTAATCAGATTGATACCTACATATAATCCATTTCGAATACACTATTTCTCGCTCTGTAAGGGAGAGAGTTGATATGACCAACACCTAATCAGAACTTTTTCAAAATACAGCTCAGTCGGAGTGTATGTTAATATATAGTAAACAATCTTCAAACTATTATTACAACCCCCACCCCCGTACGTTAATGTCTGAGAGTATGGTCGGTAGGGATTGGCCCAACCACCAGCCCTTTGGCAGGTAACATTAACAGTTAATACTTTATATCATTGATTGTTAAAATTCCAATATATTGTTACTCTCTTCATATTTTATATCATTCCATTACCAGCATTATTTTATTGATTATAGCCTATGGCACATGTAACTTTTTATATCTTTTTTTTATAAAAGAAGTGTCTTAAGAGTCTTATCAAATTATCAAAATATACTATATAATTATGTAACTATTTTATGAATTGAATTGATTTATTTAGATCTAAGGGACCCCATTGGAATAAAGCCACAAATAAATTATGTGGCTTTATGGGTCATCAGGTAAAGGCCTAAATTAATCCAGTGTTAACACCTGACTGACTTCTAGTCTTATGGCATAAATAACTTATAAAGAAGATCTCATTCTGTGATAATATATACATTTATGCCCAATCTGCAAAATGTGATAGAAGTGTATTATTTGCCTTTTACCTGAATAAATATTATTATTATTATTATCTGCCTCAAATGAAAGGGATCTACTATATTATCACTATGTATCCTAGGCAGACGTCTTTGTATGAATCATAGACGTTTCGGTTCCCAATCGTTTCGGTATCTAATAAAACAGTCCTTACGTGATGAGACCCTTTAGGTTGTGTTTAAATTTATTCCTGTCGGTTATAAATTACATGTACGTTACAGTACAATTATTTGATTATGAACTTATATAATTATTACAGATCTGACCACAGACACCTGTTTATGTTATATATATATATTTAAATGGTCGATCCAATCTTAAATAACACACAGTGTCACGTTTTCTTTTTGCAATATTTCAAGTATATATTAAAGGGGCAACACGGTGAAGTAACTTTAGTTTTTGTCTTTTTTTCAAATACTACATAAACATATCAAGTGAGACTCCTTATGGAAAATAATGATCGGATTTGGCTGAAATAGATTCATTAAAATGATTAGATCTAAGAAAATCATCGGTATTTCTACCTGTCTGACCGACGTTTTGTTCAGGGATTTCCCTCTACTAGCGCATGCGCATAGCACACCATCTCTTTGTAAACAGAATGACTGGCCGTGTGAAGTAAGCGAAAGAAAAGTGTTGTACCATGTCGGCTACGAAACGAAAAGTTGCCAAATGGTCAAAAAATAGCACAAGGAGTACGTTACAGAATCATTATTACAGGTGGGAAGTATTCAAAGGTGAAAATAACTGCCCTAGCAGTTAGTACGGTGCATGTATTCTTCCGGATTGTCGGTTAAGCTGAAATGGAATCGACATGAATGCTATCGCTGTTTATGTTATGAATAAATATCTAAAACTATTAAGTTTGATCACGGTTTGATTTTGCCATGAGGCCCTCCAAGGGATAACTGTTGTGATGGCCCACGGCGAATTAAACAATTACTTTTGTTTTTACATGCAAGATTTAAATTAGTACTAAAGTAGATTCCTCTTAATATCACATGAAAAACATGATATTAACCGAAACATGACATAAACAGAATACATATTTTCTGATGTTTTTCAACCCTCAAAACCGGAAGTGAACTTAGTCAAATGCCTAAGTGATGTGGCTCTATGAAGAAGATTGATATTTTGTAACTAACCTTGTTCTATACCCTAGTTGAAATATAGATATAAGTATAGAAATAAATTTATTATTTGTATTTCATTTCAGTACGCAGTTACATTTCATATTGTTAAGTAGCAAAATGACGATCAGTACGATTGTAATTATGATTGTTTACTGCAGTAGTGATGTAGGCATACAAGTGTTTGGCTGGTATTCTGCATCAAATTCAATTGTAAACATGAGACTTGGTAAATATTTACCTATATCTTGATATATATACTGTTCTTTCTCTAGTAACATCTTTTTATGGGTTAATTTCCTTAGATATTTGCTGCAAGTGTGTAATCGAAGATAGTACACATGTTATAATTAGTTGAAAGAATACATCACACTTGGCATTAGAAAAGTTTACAGATGTTAGACTGCCCTAGCTCCCCAACCACAGGTGAATATCATGTTAACAAGTATGTAAGTCAACCTATTGTTTAACAGTCAGCCAGGTGTAACCTATTGTTTGACAGTCAGCCAGGTGTAAAAAATACCCTGTTAGGTCAAGGCATTGTTTACATAATGCGTCCAGGGTGTGAAAGAAGGTCCCCAGGGCATTTATCATGAATCATTACCACCATTTATCTGTATTTTTTTTGTGGCAGTGGCCAAAATAAATTTATATTAAGAGAAATCAACATAAAATCAGGTGATAATAAAAGAATTGAATTGCATAGATTATATAGCAGGAAAAACGGTGCATCAAAAAAACATGATAATAACCGAAAAGTGACATTAACAGACGTGATATTAGGTGAAATGTACTGTAATATGAATACCCGGCCTCCTCTGCCCCGGCAATATATAAAAAAAAATCCGAAAGGTTTGTCCCTTGGTGTAGGGAAGGTGTTTAGCCCCGTACCATCTGTACCGGTCACATTCCGGTACTAAATTCAATATATATTTATAAATATCTACTTTATGTTTATGCCTATTATCATTGTTGACATTTAATTGTAAATGTATGACGGGAGAAGGCTGTGATAAATTGTAAAAACTTGTTCAATATTGGCAACAAATATGTTTAAAGCTAAATAAATTTAAATTCTGAATATTGGCAAGCTTGCAATTAACTTCTGATGATGAATGATTACTGTTCAATAAGCTTGAATACAGACTAAGAAATCATATTACTTGGTTTCATAGCGCGGTAAGAAGTTGCAGTTGCCCCTCTCTGGGGGCCCCTCTGGAAACTGTTTCATCTCGCTCAGACCACTTGTGTTTACTGCCTAGTCGGGTGACGTTATCGGCGCTATTTTTAGCAGGGCTTTCCCGAATAATTCAAGTGGTCAAACTGGACATTTGGAACGGACTATGAATATGGGAATAGCGAGGTAACATAAGTGGAAGTGCATACAATACATACATTCATTAAAAAAAATATGGCTCTTCACGTGATGTCCCTTTAAGAGTTTTGAAGGAGCTTGTGTAAATACAAGTGTTTGGTACATGATATCGAGCAGTTTCATGACTGAGTATGTATGCTGTTCTCATGATATATATAAATTGGATAATTTATATGATATTATAAATACTGAGTGTTTTTATGTCTTCAGTTTGCAGGATCTGTCAGAGAGAAAACAATTTTCACAGCGAGACGCACGCCCCCACAGAAGATTCTTCATAGACTACAGATATAGTACTTCAGGCCCTGACCTTCAAGCGAAAACTGAAGATGTCAATGCATATGCGAGATAGTCATCGTCTGTTTCTCCAGTCTTTCATGTCACGTGGACTACTGGATGCAAAGGAAGTCAGGCAGCTTTTCAAAACTGTGTGCCTTAAATTCAATGGTACTGACTTCTCCATTTTTGTCAAAAATAAAATTGATATTGGCATTTTCAAAGAATGACTATTCAAAAAGTCAGTTTTTCCTTCTCCGCGTTTAAACCTTTATAAAGACTCAAACATAAAATATTTCTTACCTACTTCTCCTTTTATTTAATTTTTTCCTTATATGTCTGTGGAAACAGCTATTTATATTATTATTTTCTTGTGTCAAGCATGAAATATTTGTGTTGAATACAGGGGTGCTAGATTTGATATATATGGAGACATTTACTAGCTAAAGTTATAATTTCCTGATAAATATATTGAAAACTTTCACTAGCTCTGAGCCTCTGACATAATGTTTTCCACTAGTCCTGGAAGTCTAGTCTTTCCACAAGTCTAAAAGTAGTGGAATTATTCTAAATTCATCATGGAAGAGATACAGAAATATCTTTTGATAAGAATACCTTAGATGTACTGTAAATTTCAAAAAATGTTAAATTCTTCAAAACCACTCAATGACATTAATGCTGTGATAATTTCAGAGCCTACATCTGACAAAGAGGAGGACAGAAAGCTACAACTTCTGGAGTTTGTCCGTACAATAAATGTTAATATTCGCCCATTTCACATGGAAATCAAGAAGGGGGTCAGTGAAGATGAAGGAGTCAGCTACTACTGCCTGGTCAGTATATGTAGGTGGTCCTGGTCATCATTATTTAGTGGGGAGGGGTCAGCTACTACTGCCTGGTCAGTTTATATAGGTGGTCCTGGTCATCATTATATAGTGGGGAGGGGTCAGTTACTACTGCCTGGTCAGTATATATAGGTGGTCCTGGTCATCATTATGTAGTGGGGAGAGGTCAGTTACTACTGCCTGGTCAGTATATATATATATATATATATATATATATAT